AGGGGGCGCGGGCCGGAGGAGGGGGCGCTGGCCGGAGGAGGGGGCAGGCCGGAGGAGGGGGCGGTAGCCGCCGCTGGTGACCACCGCAGTGAGATGTCACTGTTTCCTCCTGGCCGCGTCGTTCCGTGGGGCTGGGTGGATCCTGCGCCTCACCAGGCCCAGGGAGAGGCTGCGCACCTGCACACATGCGTGCACACAGCCCAGGGAGATACGCGTGTGCACCTGCACAGATGCGTGCACACAGCCCAGGGAGACGCGCGTGTGCACACACCTGCACAGATGCGTGCACACACAGCCCAGGGAGACGCGCGTGTGCACCTGCACAGATGCGTGCACACAGCCCAGGGAGACGCGCGTGTGCACCTGCACAGATGCGTGCACACAGCCCAGGGAGACGCGCGTGTGCACACACCTGCACAGATGCGTGCACACAGCCCAGGGAGATGCGCGTGTGCACCTGCACAGATGCGTGCACACAGCCCAGGGAGATGCGCGTGTGCACACATCTGCACAGATGCGTGCACACAGCCCAGGGAGATGCGCATGTGCACCTGCACAGATGTGTGCAAACAGCCCAGGGAGATGCGCGTGTGCACACACCTGCACAGATGCGTGCACACACAGCCCAGGGAGATGCGCGTGTGCACCTGCACAGATGTGTGCACACACAGCCCAGGGAGACGCGCATGTACACCTGCACAGATACATGCAAACAGCCCAGGGAGACGCGCGTGTGCACACACCTGCACAGATGCGTGCACACAGCCCAGGGAGACACGCGTGTGCACACACCTGCACAGATGCGTGCACGCACAGCCCAGGGAGAGGCACACACACCTGCACAGATGTGTGCACACACACAGCCCAGGGAGACACGCGTGTGCACACACCTGCACAGATGCATGCACACACAGCTCAGGGAGAGGCGCACGCACCTGCACAGATGTGTGCACACACACAGCCCAGGGAGACACGCGTGTGCACACCTGCACAGATGCGTGCAAACAGCCAGGGAGATGAGTGTGCACACCTACACAGATGCGTGCAAACACACACACAAGCACCTGTGCACTATCACACAATGCGCTCAAAAACATGCACACAAACGTGTGGAGACCCATGCGTGCACACACACACAATCACACACACCCCTCTCCGGAAGCCTCCAGAGTTGGGAGGAATCCTGGGTTCTACCAGGTCCCATTTCTCAGAGGCCCTGGCAGAGAGCCCCAGCAGAAGGGAGAGAATGGATGATTGGTCCAAGAGGTCATCATGGCCCCTGGAGTGGGGAGAGGCCAGAAAGGTGAAGGCCAGGGCCTTTTCCACTGAGCTCCCACTTCAGCCAGTTGTGCTGAGTGGACCTGGGGATAACACAGAGTCTCAAGGTGGACAGGTGTCCCAGGACCCTGGGAGCCGCTCAGCACCGGTCAGCTCCTGCAGAGGCTCCGGTGCTGCACCAGGCTGGGTCGCTCAGAGGGGGCCGGTAGGACTGCATTGGCTACAGAGCCCCAGGTCTCCCGGTGGCCCTCCTGCAGGACATGGGAGGCATTGTCTACCTCCGCTCCCCCACTCAGCCTCGGTGTGAGGCTGGGTCAATATACTGGGCCGTGTGCAGACTCAGAGCTAGTGCTCTGTGGTCACCTGTCCAGAGCTGGGCCCCGCTGGGCCCTTCCGGTGCAGAGTATGCAGTGAGTAGTGTAAGGCGAATCATCCCAGAAGTCACATTTTAAAAGATAGAATATTGGAGTCTTTATTATACAGTTAGCAGGCTGCAGGCCGCCAGTTGTTACAAAGGCCTGCAGCACACAAATACACAAAACACAGCTAGGAAACATGCTAAAGAGGAAAGGAGTAACAAGAACAAGACCAACAAGCCAGTTCAGCTCCAATGGAGAGCTGAATTAGGACGCCGTGATGACTGGAGATGAGCCAGGACACAGGACACAGGACAGGATCAGCTAGGCTGGTCCGGGCCTAAATAGGTCGGCCCAGGGGGCAGATCCTCAGGAAATTCCCAGTCCCAGGAAGTGACTGACAGATTCAGTAACCTATCAGCCAAGTGTCCGCCCCTGTCTCCAGGGATCAGGCACACCCATTACCTGGGAGGCAGGTGGTAGGCAGGGGGGTTTTCTTCCCCCAGCATGAAGACAGGATGCCAGACCCTACCACCCACCATGTGGCCAATGTGGCGCCGGCTAGACCTGACCTCGGTACTTCAGTAGCAAAGGGGAGGGTCAGTTCAGGAGAGAAAGATGCTTTCTCCACTGGCATTTCTTCCCTCTACCCTTTCACCAGTCGGACCTGGCCCACAGAAGACCCACAGTGCACCCCAGCAGCCGTCTCGATGACGGCCACGAGCTACCCAGAGCCTAATGGGGGGCTGAGCGTGGAGGAGCCAGTCTGAGACCAGTCTCCCCATTCCATAGCTCTACACACACCCCTGCACCTGGGTGTGGCATAGGTTCTCTGATGGGTTTCCAAGCCTCTCTCTGTCTCTGTGTCTGTCTCTCTGTGTCTGTTTCTGTCTCTGCCCACCCTCCATTTCTCTGTCTTCAGTTACTCTTGGTTTTTGTGTCACAAGCAGGCATTTCTGTCTCTTTCCTCTGTCTCTGTCTCTTGGTCCTAACTCCTTTTAGGTCTACCTACATATGCTTTCTCAGCCCTGAGCTGGGGCTGGGTGTCCAACCAAACCTCAGGCCCTGCTGAAGGAAATAAACAAGAATGGGGGCAGTCTCAGGCCTAACTGACACCGTGGGAACCCTGGGGCCTGAGTTAGCAGGCACACAGAGCTACACACA